GATCCTTGAATCCGATTGGTTCGTTAGTCCTTCTATCGAGAGTCATGAACAACTTTACCTGCAACCACAGACCTCGAAACGAGTATGCTRCTCTCCCTAATGTCCTTCGATGATCAAGTTAGTAAATCGGAAGGGAGGAGGAAAACGGAAAGCAAGTTGAGTATTGAATGATAGATTTTTTACTTACCTCATGGTCGTGGTAGCTTGTCTCTTTTTATAATAGATGGAGCCGACTAGGGAGGATGTCTAGCACGTGGTGTGGTGGGACCCATTTGTCTACGAGCTCTAGYGGGCCGTTAGGGGACATTCCCGACGCGTGGTATCGCCATTGTCGCCTATCACCTGACCCACTACAGGTGCTTTGTAGCGGGGTATGCCGCACAACCGTCTGTACACACATGGTGTTGAGATACTGATAAATGAATTAAATTTATCCAATACAAAAGCTTTTTTTGGGTTGAGTGGTGGTTTATTCATCTTTAACATGGTATCAGAGCGGAGGTCTTGTGTTCGAACCCCTGCATTGTTGTTTCCTCCCCTACCAGATCCAGCGTCGCTCCCTCTACTCCCACGTTTGCCGTTTGGTTTTCACCCTCAACATATGTATGTATATGATATTATATGGTTGGTTCATTTTGTAAATTAATGAGGCATGGCTTTTTGTACTCAATTGCACCAAGAAAACAGACAAAAAGAGGACCTAACTATATTGACTACATACACTTATCCTTTTTCTCAAATAAACTATTATTTGTGATTAAAAAATAATCTATATGGATGTGTCTAGTCATCTCCCCTTTATTATTTTGATACAATTTTAGCATCTTCCATTTATAGTCCATATTAAGGTAATTTATCAATTAATTATTAGGGATAAAGATTAGGCTAATGGGGTCGGTTTACAACTGAGAGAACTGGCTGAGTTCTCTAAAAAATTATAATTAAAAAAATCTACTCACACTCCTATTTTAGGAGTTTAATCACAAATTTAGTGGATTTATATTTTTATTCTCTGAAAAATTTTGGTTACACCTCCAAATTTTTTTTTATTTTATGTCTAATATATATTATTAGATGTTGGACTAAAGTCTCACGGATGATTCTTTGACCGAGATAAAGATGGTTGATGATGCAATCAAAGTTCGATATTGACTAATAAAACATCTTCATTTAAACTAGGCATTTTGAGAATTTTATTTTTAAAGTGGGCAATATCATACTATGAAATTGTGAAGGGGATATGGCAGTATCAGAAAATTTCCCCCAAAAGATTAGGCTAGTGCGATCCTTGACTTCGAAAAGTTTCGACATTCTTAAATTTTTTGATTTTGCATTTAACGCGTATATGCTAACACTTTATTAATTAGTTTAGTACTCATGTGTCATATCTACTGTATTGATTAAAAATGGTATGACACAATGACAGAACCTAACAACTCAACTGGTTAAGACTATCTACGACCAAAAGATCATAAATTAGATTCTCGCCTTCACATGTTTCATGTACTAAAAAAAATGTCGGGAGGATATATTTCAAGTCGGCCAAAATACAATTAGAAAAATACTTAATTACTGTTTTCTTTATAGAATAAATACATCTTGATATGTCAATACGAGCATAGTTTAAGAGATTATGAATTCGAATTTTCCACCCGACTCGAAATACATCTGGATACCACATAAAAATAAAATAAAATGTAAGAAGCCAATTAAAAGTCTAGATCAGGAAAATGAAATTTTGTGTATAATTATTTAACATGGCCACACGTGATCTGGTTTGACATGACATAACTCCCACGTGCCTCTTCTGAGCAGGGGCTGCAAGCGAATGGTAAGGAAACTACTATAAAGTTAAAAACCGACATTAATAAAATAAAATAAAATTAAATAAGGCCGGAGTTTTGAAAAAAAAATAGTTATTTTTTCAGTGTGTAAAAAGGAGAAGAAATTGGAAAAAGAGAATGTGTCTGCTTTTCCCAAAACATCCTTTCTCTCTTAATCTGCTTCTTTCTCACACATCTATACAACAATTATGAGCTTTTTTGACCAAATCTATTTGTTTTTCTTTAATCCAATAGAAAAATATTGCATCCATTTCGGTTTTTTTTTTTTTTAATTTTTCACACTTTTTTTTCTTTTTACTTTACTTTCAATTGTTAAAATTTTAATGGGAAACTTTTCAATCCAACACAATTCATGAACCAANACATCCTTTCTCTCTTAATCTGCTTCTTTCTCACACATCTATACAACAATTATGAGCTTTTTTGACCAAATCTATTTGTTTTTCTTTAATCCAATCGAAGATAACTCAATCCAATTTTGATAATTGTACTTTTAATTTTTCACACTTTTTTTTCTTTTTACTTTACTTTCAATTGTTAAAATTTTAATGGGAAACTTTTCAATCCAACACAATTCATGAACCAAATATGGTCCATGTTTGAGTAAGTTTGAATAAGTTTGAATAATATATATATATATGTGACAAGATTTGTAATTTCTTGATGTATAATCATTTAATTCTCATAACATAGCTAAAATAGTATTATTTTCAAACTATTATATTTAATAAAATATAACATTAAGAGAATGAATTTTTGTTTATTGTTTGGCCCAGTGGTGATGTAAAAAAGTAAAGGTATTTTGAAAAAAATAGGTTCAAATCTTAGTGGGAAACCACCTATTAGAATGTTCACGGAGCAAGATAGGGGCATGAATAACCTTTCCGCCTCTCATTTAATATTTATTCCCTACGAAATTTTGCGGGAATTGAGTTCTTGTAGAAAATTATTTTCCGTTTATATTTCTTTTTTTTTTAGAAATTCTAAATTAAAAGTTATTTTTTCATTGTAAATCTATATTTGAACTATTAAATTTCATGAAGAATCTTCATCGGTCTGTTTTTTTTATATAGTTAAATTTCATCTCTCATAACTCATAAAATCAAAAAAAAAATTATAATACACGAAATTATAAAATGTAATATATCTACACACGAATGTAATTTAGGGTGGGAAAAGTAACATCCCTACCTCTTATCTATTTCTTACGAAATTTTTAACAATCAAATATCGTATAATGAAACCATCGTAATTATTAATTAGTTGAGATGCGTAAAACTAACTAGAAATTTACAAATATATATCAAATTGTTAGATAAATAATTGACAATAAAATAAGAATAGCCTTGAATAAGCACTTCCAAAAGATGTCTCTCTACACCAACAGAACCTTGAAGTCTAAGAATAATAGGATGGAGTTGTTTGCTGAAAGATAAAACATTCTCAAAACCAGAGTTGAAAATCAAATAATGAAAAATCATTTTAAAAAGCCCCCAAAAATAATAATAATAATAATAATAATAATAATAATAATAATAATAATAATAATAATAATAATAATAATAAAAGTAGTTTTCCATATGAATGCTGGAGGGTAAAGGAGCTATAAGCTTTTAGCTGTGTTTGGTACTTTGAAAATTTAAATTCAAACATTATTAATTATTTCAACTTTCAACCTAAAGTTTTCTAACTTCATCATTGCACCAAGTTTGATTGTTCCACACGGCTATTTAATTTCTATCTTATTATTATTATACGTATTTAATTTTAACCATATATGCTTCTTTTTCTCTCTTATTAAACTCTATCATTGTGAAATATATGATGGCCAATTTTAATTCTTTTTTATTTTTTTTCCTTTTCAAACTTTACAACACTCTAGAGGAAACTTCCTCCTTCTTTAGCAACTATTTCCAAAACTATTTTTTCATTTTTGGAATAAATGCTTCTATATCCAATTCGCTACGAAGTTACGTCGTTATCATATAAGTTTCATCTAATTATATTGATATGAAATGTTACGGAAGTAATTGACAAATAGAATTTAAAGTTTTGGACATGTAAATAAATGATCATTTATTTCTAATAGTTTAGAGTTTAATTAGATATGGACYTGCTAGAGTACAAGAATTAAGTCTGTAATTTTTAGGTTTAAATGTTCCTTTCAAAACTTTCGTACATATTTTGTTTAGGTGCGGCTTCAATATTTGGCTACGTAGATATTTAATTTACTCATTAGGCAAATGACCAGAAAGATAGGTCATGTATTTTAAGTTTATCTTTTCAACAATTTGTTTAAAACTAATGGTTAAATTGCAAATTTTGTCTAATAAACACTAAATTTTCAATATTATGTCTATTTATAGTCACCTCCCGAGATCTTGTGGATTGTATTAGAGTAATTTTTGAGAAGAAAATAAGTAGAGATGGAGATTTGACTGTTTGTTTCCTGACACCAAATATTTGTAGGGTTAGATAGGTGTCCTGTGAAATTAGTGAGGTGTGCGTAAGCTAGTCCGAGCACTCACGAATATCAAAAAGAAAAAAAAAAGATCGGACCGTAATTTGTATCTCTAATTGGCTTGATAATCTGCTAAAAAGGACTACTATTCTGTTTAATGAATGTGTTTTCTTCCAAAAAAATAATAATAATAATAAAGTAGAAAAGTCTAGAAAATCTACTACTTATTAAATATTTTGTAAAGTTATAGGAATTTATTAGTCATAACTCCCAACTAAACTTAAAAAAAAAACCTTGTTTTTATTAGGGTGTTCATTCAAAATATTTGTACAACAAAAAAAATAATAAACATTAATATCTTAAATATACATATTTTTTAATATTAAATAAAGATTCATAAGTCAATTTTTATTAATCCGGTGAAAAAACTAGTTAAAAAGTTATTATTCAATCTAAATTTAAATCAGGATTTTCACTTATTTGAAACTAATGCAATCCAAGTTAAATCGTACGAGTAGTTAGGCTGTGTTGGATTGACGAGAATCATTGGGTTGTTTCATAATCTTGATTATAATATTTACTAAACAAGATTGGTAAAAATGTTTCCTAATCTTTATTATAATATGATACATATAAAATGTTATTAAAGCGATTAATTGTATCCTAAATCCTAATAATCCCTCCCCCTACGAATTTAGGTTTTAGGCTCTCTCTCTCTCTCTTTCTCTCTCTTCTGTGTGTGTGATCATCTTCTAATTCTGCATTCTTCGTCATCTACTTGCTGCCTTTGCCATCATGATTCCTATTGTCATCATTGCTCCAAAAGCCTCTCTCTCTCCTCTCTCTCTCTCTCTCTCTCCTCTTTTTGTTCCATTTCCTCTTCTATTTATACTCTTAATCCCTTCTCCGCCATTTTCAACCAATTCTCTCTCTCAGAGCTCTACAAATTGAAATTCTAGCCGGAAATGTGCGATTCCTCTCGATTGCTGTTCGTTTCGTCCACTCGTTCGTCTCTAGGTTGCCGACATCGTCACCGGCGGCATCCGCTTCGAGTTCACAGGCTTATTAGGTGATTGATTGATTGATTGATTTGTTCGTTTCTATTCTCCGCTCTGTTTCTGATTTGGTGATGTGCAGGAGGATGAGATTGGTGAAGGAAGAGGCGGAGGACGACGGCGTCGAGGTGGAGATGGAGATCAAGAATTTGAAACTGTTCATGGAGAATCAGAGCATTATCGAGGAGAACGAGCGGCTGAGAAAGAGAGCTTTTCTTCTTCACAAAGAGAATCAGGTTTTGTTATCTCAAATCCAGAGTTTCTCCAATCAAAAACCGCAACCTCCGATTTGAGCGCCTGGCCGGACAATTGAATCATCTGTAAGGATCACGACTAGATCAGGATCTCTCAAAACCTTCGATAACTTTCTTGCTATCAATTGGCAATTTCTTTTTTGATATTCCTCTGATTCCTTGGTTTGTAATCTGTTACCTTGACAATAAAATAGGGGTTTGGTTTAGAGGGGAGGGGAATAAGGGTGAGTTCGGTTATTAGGGCTTGGGATAGATTTTTAGAATAATATAGTCAAGTCATGTTATGAAATAGAAATATCATGAAAAGTGTTATTGTAATAGAACTCTGTTCTTGTTCTCCCATATTTGATTGATCCAAATTCTCCATTGAAGAAGAAGGAACCTTTCTTCTGTGTGATGAAACTCCATTGAAGAAGGTGGTTGGTTTTTGATGTTGAAGCAAAACTCAAAATGGTGAAATAAGATTCCGGCTGTAAAAGGGAATATAACTTTGTTCAAGAAAGCGTTGCTTTGTGGAAAGCCAAATTCTCTCTCACCATTTTAATTCTTTTACTATTCAAAAAAATTATTCTCCCTCTATATAATAACAATTGACTACTTTTTCAAAAATAAATAAATAAATAAAAATGGACGAGTTCTTTTAGTTCAATTATTCTTAGTTAGAATGATAATTGGCACCTCTCTTTTCAGTCTCTCCATCTCTACCTATTGTAAAAAATAATAATAATAATAATAAATAAAAGAATTAAAAATAAATAAAGCTAATTCCTATTAAACTTGAATAATTTCTTAAAATTCTTTTACTATCTTTCGCTCACTAAGAAAGGGTTAATTTGCTAATTTGAGTTTACTTTCATGTTTGTTCTAAAAGTTTAAATTTAGACCTATAATTTAAAATTACTTTTAATTTTGTCCAATGTAGTTTTTTATTTTAGTATTACATGGCATGTGACACATTTTTAATAGACTTAACCACTTAGGTAAAAAGTAGTTTTAAAATAATTTATGAAGTTTAATCAAACTTAAATGAAACAAAGTTAAAGTCAATCCGAGCTCAATTGATTAAAATATATTCTCAATTGGTTAAAGGATTGAACTAAAACAAAATAGTCTTAAAACTACTTGAAACTACGCGAAGTTCGTAAGACTCAAATTTCTGATTTGAGTTTAAAAAATCACATCATAAAACCTCTTTCCTAACACAAATTTTTATCATAAAATAAAAATAATAAGAAACGGTTAAAAAACAGTTAGCAAGTCGACAGCAATTAATTAACCTTCAGAAACAGAAACAGAAATAAAATTTAGGAATTTAAAAAAAAAAGTGAAACAAAAAACTTTAATAGATTCTTCACGTACTTAAAAAAGACCAAAAAAAAAAAGTTAATAATCAACAAACAAGAACGTAACGTAAGGGGGAAAAACTTTCAAATAATATATATTTTTTTTTAATTTGGAAATTGCCACAATAAATAGAATCAGAACCAGACACTTCAACTAACAGGCATCCTTATTTAGCAACACATTAGACGCCAAGAAACGAGTTGAAGACTTGAAATACACGTCCATAAAATAAAGTGCAAAATAGCATTTCCATATATTTTCACTACAAATTCAACACCCACATAACCTAACAACAACAAACGTTAAGATCAAGGCCAAGGTATAGACCTAAAATACCTGACTTCATACTAATACCGAGTAACCAAAATGAAATCGTCATCATCAAGAACTTGTACATCTTTTTCGCCCACGAAATTCTCCCGCCCGATTTGCTTCACCAAATTCACAAACTCCTCCCTCTTTGCTTTTGGAAGAGGTACATATGGTAGCCTAAACACGGGCCTCACTACCCCGAGTTGAGCGAGAGCCGTGTTCAAGCCTATCGGGTTAGGTTCGTAGAACAGCCAGTCCATCAAAGGAATCAGTTTTGCGTTTAGGGAAGAGTTCTTCCCTCCAAACATGAGCTCTCTCATTAAACCAGGCACCAAGTTGCTAGCAACAGACATAACTCCAGTTGCTCCATGGTTCCACCTAGCATCGTGGCACTGATCGTCGTTTCCACTCCAGACTGAAATTCCTTGGACAGTATACTGCTCAACACGATCATTTCCGACACATTCCTTCACACCTGCTAGATTGACACTTTGAGAAACTGTTTGAATGACAACCGGGGGAATATCTTGGCCAGTTCGTGGTGGTACGTTGTATATAATAGTCGGGCCCATAGAAAGCACACAATTGAAGTGAGAGATCATTCCCTCGATGGAAGTTTTTCCATAATAAGGATTTATATGAAGGGCAGCATGCATTCCAACAGCAAATCCCTGTTCAGAAGCGTGAATTGCTTCTCTTGTGGAGTTGCTTCCAGTGTTACCTATTACCTTGATTGATCCACCAAAACAGTTGACAGTATGACCTATAAGCATTATATGTTCGTCCCAGCTCATCAACTGACCTTCACCAGTTGTGCCACCCACAATCACACCTTCAGCTCCATTTTCAATCTGCAGATTCACCAAGGCGTCGTACGCTTCAAGATCAAATCTGCCATCGGGAAGATAAGGTGTTTTAATGGCAGTTACAAGTCTAAGAGACTTGATATCATCGGCCGATGTCCTGCAAATAAGTACCAGAGAATATCAGCCAAGTATATGATGTCCCAGAAACTTTATTATTTCTCAACTTCAAACAGTTGTTTAGTCACATTCTGTTTTAATGGGAACAATTTCTATTAATTACATAAGTCAGAGGAATAATATCGAATTGTCAAATTGCTGGTCACATTTCACAGCAGTTGTTGAATTCCTAATTTTATTCTGTTGAATTCACACATATACATATCCCCTTGGGAGAGTATCTCTCAATTATTTTTTCTTCTTTTTCCTTCTTTGAAAAACAAACCAACTGCTTCGAGAGAAAACCATTGGAAAACAAAATAAATAAAGGAAGTTGTAGGAACACCAGTCATCATACATAGGTAAAGTTGGTCATTTAAGTCTTCCTCAGAAAGTGATAGTGAATGAAGAACGGCCAATGCCTACCTTACATCTAACATATATCTAACCATGTGGGCTTGTTCTTTGTATACCCCTTGTATATTATTTCATGTTTCTCAATGAAAGCTCGATTTCTTATAAAAAAAAATAATAAAAGGCTAAAAGCACTCAGAGCCAAACACTAACTAATGTGATCAGCCCACATGTAAATACATTTAAAAATAATATTTACAGACATTAACACTGTTCACTAGGGGAGGGGGGTCTTCCCGATTTAGCATCGGACGAGAGATGCAGAGAATGAATTCATGAAATTAACTTAGCTCACCTATTCTTCACTTCGAAACTGCGCATTGGAAGATGTAAATTCGGTATGACGGCAGCCTGTGGAGACCTCCATCTGGCATTCCTCTTGGTACATTGTCTGACAGTAAGAGAGGAAGTAACATTGATTTAAATACATATTTTGACAAGTAGTGTTCTCATCTTCCAGCCCTCCATTTCCACTTGTACCATTCATCCACAATAAAGCAATTTGATATTCTATTTCACAACTCAAGAAAAAATGAAAATCTAAAACTCAACAAGAGCGGTTTATATATATATATATATATATATACCAGCAGTATCATTGGCAAGATAACTCTAATTTATTTCCTTTCATTTTCTTTCCATGCTAGAAAGAAAACAAGCAGAAAAATCATCGATCGAATTAAATATACTGCTACTATGTGTGTTGCCAAAATTGCAGGGAGATGTGAAATAAAAGTAAAATATTTAAAGTACAAGCCCGTTGACCATAACTGGTTGCAACTTACAATCATCGTCGAAGTGACTTTGGTCAACGTCAGTTCCTTTTACATTCCCGTTTCGTACCAAAACGTGGAGTTACTTATACATATGCATTTTTATTCGTACTGGTGCATAAAAAATTACGGCCATATAATAGAAAACAGGATAAGTTGATAACATATTTAAAAACTATGAAACTCAGATTGCGATACAACCATCGATGAAGTGACTTTATCGACGTCATCTTAAAGCTTAGTGATGAGCACCAAATCCAATCAATACGGATAAATTATCCATTTATAACAAATAAAATATGTCATGCCGGCAAATATGGCGTATGCAAATTCATTTCAGGTCAATCCAAATAACTTAATCCATTGTTTAATAATTAAACCAAAAGTGTTGAGTATACCTCTTATAGCTATCGTTAGAATTGGAGCGTGGAAATTGGAGAGCATACTCCCGCATGCACGAGCCGTAGCCTTTAACAGTGGTCATCTGGAACTCCAACCGGGAACAAAAATTTCACTGATGATTCCGTTTCTTCCCGAACCAAGCCGGCAAGGAAAACCGCAGAGGAAGAGAGGTGGAAGAGCGCTGAAGTTTACAGAGTGATGACGGAAATGATTGTGGTTGCTGCGGTGGTCATGGCGGTGGTCGAGATAGTTCCGGTGAAAGAATGTCGGAGGGAGCAGCCGGAGAAGACCATGTGGTTGACTTTGGACGCAGAAATGCTTGATTGGAGCAATGGAAGAGAGAAGGCCTTGAAGGGAGGATTTAATGGAGTTAAGTCGAAATGGCTGATCATGGCTAGGGCTAGGGTTTGGGCGGAGGAACTGGATGGGCTTATGATTTTGGAAAAAATTTGGGCTACCACTCGAGTTGAGCCCAAAACGGGAAATTTTAATGGGCCGAAATCACCCGATGATTGTTTAATTGTGTGAGGGCTTAAAAATCAAGCCCAATGTGTTTTTTTGGGGGCATATTTTGTATTTGTTTAAAGTGTCGCTTAATTAAATATTGATGCAAATATTATTGTTTTTATTTATATTTTTAAGGTTGGTGTTGATGGTCAATTATTGACGTGAAATGGTGATTTGGTGATGGTAAAATTATTTTTCGTAATAATTTATCAACGGTAAAGTGGTGATTTTTGTTTTCTTTGAAAATTATGAGATATCATATTTAACGGGGTGATATATGAATGGTAATATGATAATACATCGTTTAAATGAAGGTCATGAGTTTGAATCTCAACATTCTATGTTTATCTCGATCTTCTATACTTGAGCGTTGGTTACATTTTTAATATTTATTATTTATTATGAGTCTTTCAAATGAGACAATAAAGATTTATGTTTTATGTCACAACACCTTGTCGTGGACTGTTATAAGGAAAATTATAACCGAATTTCTTTTTATCCAGTATTAATTTGAAACCACATGCATCTGAAGTACATTTAATTAAGATAACGTAGTTGTATATAAACCTAGAGCAATAGCATGATGAACCAAGAGGTTGTTGGATCTTATGATTCAGGATTGTGAATTACTATATCGTCGTGAACAACATTTAACCAACCAGGCAATCATATACTTTGACCCACATTGAATGTCGAGCCGCTCACTGAAGATAAAAGTACATCAAAATTTGTGTATAAATATCTCTTTTATGCACTCTCAAAATGCAACAACATATACAAACATATTTTATAGTTTCTTTATTCATCTCCTTTGGTTTTCAAAAGCAATTGGTAAAAACAAATGGAGTGATATATTTTGTTGAGTTTAAACTTAACATCTCCCTGTCATGAAATAATTATTGTACCAGTGGTTGATGAATAAATATACTGTGTATAGATTCATATCTCCTTAAAAAATAGTAAGATAACAATGGTTACTCGAATTACTTTTATTACTTGTCATGCTCAACAAATAATTTAATTGTATTATTAAGCAATGACAACTATTAAATAATACAATCTCATTTTATAATTATGTTTTGATTTTTTAGTATAGAAAATACGAGAATGGATGATTAAATATTTATTGTCAATATAGATTATTGACGTTGTATCAATGGGACCGTACTCATATTACAATTTTCATTAAAGGTATAATATGAAAACAATTTTTTTTTCTTTTTACGATTTGAACCTCAACACATGAAAACATTATTAAAAATAAGCATAGAAAAGTGAACCAAACTGACAAACTTGATTTATTAATTCACATACTCCAAATTAAAAACAACAGTGGACAATAAAAAAAAAAGTTCAAAATTAATATGGTATAAAAATGAGATTTTTCTATTTTATAATATACGAATCAAAATATTACATTACAACAGCCAGATATTTATTATAAAAAAAAGCCGGCTATTGAAAAAGTGTTTTAATTTGTAATTTTAAATGTCTCTATGAAAGCGCGGTAAATTAGGTCAAAAGAGACCGCCTAAATCCACATCATACAAAAAGAAAATTCTATTTCATGATTAATACCTTTTCCTGTCTCCCATTTATTCAGCATTTTATTTTAATCCGCTTTCTTTTTGTTTATTTAAAGTAATCCACAGCGACGAAGTTAAAAATTATAATTACCACAAAACAATTAATTTAATAACAGTTACACTACTTTTACCGCCAAAACGACTTCGATCAAATATTTACTTTCGAAAACAAAAAATAAATTAATATACTATTTCGATTTCTAGGCCCTAAAATTTGGTTGTTCTATGCCTTTAAAGGTTGAGATTTCATGTACTAAAAAAAAATTGATATTTCATTCTCACAAATTTAATAAATCGTAAAATTAATCTACATACTACTACTAAAACTTAAAATGAGATCAAGTTTAGATTGTGTACCTGATGTCAGAATGATATTTTTTGTAGTGAAGGATCCAATAGGAATGTCGGATCGTCAGTCGCACAAGATCGATTTATTGTGTTTCTAAATTTGGAGTACTTTCAAATAAATAAAATTTCCAGATTTACCATATATACATTATAAGATAGATAAAAATTGTTCTACTAAAAAATATAAGACGGATAAAAACTAAAATAAAATGAATCTTAAAAAAAAGAAAAAAAAAGAAAAGAAAGATATTTTAAGAAAATAATTTTATTTTTTATCTCCTGTATTAAATCGATAGAGAGAGACAAAGGCACGCTCGCAAACCGTCGGCGATAATTAAGAGTGGTCGCCGACGTGGGGGCGTTTTGGCCGCTGCACAGTTTTCTCCGACGTTTTTTTTAATTCTTTATTTATTTTTAATTTTTACATCGTGTATTTTTTCTTCTCGTTTTCTCTCGATTTTCTTCTCCGTAGGACCTACCGATCTGCGACCATCTCTGTCTCCTTCTTACTTCTCTTGGCTCCACGCATTTCTCCATCATTTCGCAGTGTAATCAAGCTACCCAGCCAGCAAGCACAAGCATACGCTTTCTCTTCCTCCCATTACTGCTGCTTTTTCACTCTCTGCTTCTGAATCCTCGATCAACGGTGATTCATCGCCTGTTTGTGCTCAGATTCTATGGCTGCCAATGGTGCTCATCGGAACGGCTCTCTCAGAGGTTCTTTCAAGGTGGATCGGCCGCCGCACGCTGCTTCTAACCTCAGGACCTCGTCGTTTAAGTCCAGGCCCTCCATTCGTCGCTCTACCTCTGCGTCTTTTGGTTCCAATGCCAATAAGGATGGGGATGGAGGTATGTAAATTGTAGCTTGTAGGGATTCGAAACTCTGATGTTATGGTCAGCTGTACTCAGGTTGAGTGTCTTGTGTGTCGGTTTTGAAAACTTGACTTTAGAAATCAAGTAAACGGAGGGCTGATTTATTTTGCTTGTTTCCGTAGTTCTTTTGTTTCTTTTCTCCGGTCAGGTGTTATGTTACTGCCATCTAGAGTTGCTTTGACTTCAGCATTCTCTTCATGGCAGTTCGATCTACGAGTTTTGTTTTGGATGTGGTTACTTTGTCAGATTTCGCTGTACGGTTGTGGTTTTATTTGTTCTAGTTTGATAGATTCGGGATTGGTCCACTCCCAATGCTGGTGCATTCGGCACGTTAGGATGAATTGGAAGGAGTATTTCTGGAAACTGGACATATATTTCATCGAGATTTCAGTATTTTACTTGTGGAAATTGTCTTTGCCTTTTTTTTTCTCTCCCTCTTCTTCATGTGTAGGGGGCAGTGACTAAACCTCTGTTATTTATACGATTTGGTCAGTGCCAGGAAGAGTTCGAGTGGCTGTCAGATTGCGGCCCCGAAATGCAGAAGAGCTGGTGGCAGATGCAGATTTTGCTGATTGTGTGGAGTTGCAGTCAGAGGTAACATCATTATCATTATCATTATAATTATCATTATCATTATTTGTTCTTTTCCAACACTAATGGGTTGCTTCTCGCCGACCTTTCATATTTTATGCCCTATATTAATTTCCAGTGGACGGTCATTTGGATGCAAATGAGCTCCCTAGCACTCTTGTCTTGGTTTTAGGTTAAGGATCATTCTCAATAGTCCCCTTATCAGCTCATAGTTTGAAATTTTAAATGCGGAATACCTGACTTAAATTAGGTTATCCTTTTTTATGCACTGAAATTGATAATTCTTATTTCTTCCTCAGCCAGTCTTGAGCAAAATAATAGAGCAAATATAACTCCTAGGTGAATGGAAGGAACACTTTGCTTGCGTGTTTAATTTAAGTAATTACAGTCTCTCTGGAGAACTGAGACAAGAAAGATACAACTGCTATGACCTAGTGTATTTGAGAATAATCCGTTTACTTCTTAATAGATCAAACCGTGGAATAAAAGGCTTACCCTGGGCCAACAACAACATACTGGAATATAATTCTCAAATATTGGGAATAAATTTAATAAAATGATATAGAAGTCGAACTCTTTTTCATATCACATCATTTGACATTGACCTTATTTTGTTATTCATGGCAGCTTAAAAGATTGAAACTTCGAAAGAACAATTGGGATTCTGATACATATGAATTTGATGAGGTGCTTACTGAATCTGCATCACAGAAGCGTGTGTATGAAGTGGTTGCAAAGCCTGTAGTGGAGGTGTGTTATGCTTGAAATATTATTTAGTTTTCTTGGTGTTGGGAACTTTTTTTTTTTTGGAGTACATTCTTGGTGTTGGGAACTAGATACATGTTATGCCACTAAGTAGTAAATTGATCATTCATCTTGTCCGACTGTATGATAATATATGACTCACACTAACAAGGCATATTTTTCATTCCTGCAGCGTAAGATTTTATTTTACTCCATTTCCTTCTTCTTCTGATGATAATCTGCTCCATTTTTTAGAGTGTTCTTGATGGTTATAATGGGACAGTGATGGCTTATGGCCAGACTGGTACGGGGAAGACATTTACGCTTGGACGTTTAGGGGATGAAGATACATCTGATCGTGGCATTATGGTTCGTGCTATGGAGGATATTTTAGCTGATGTATCACCTGAAACAGATGCAGTTTCAGTCTCTTACCTGCAGGTGTTAATCCATTGAACAAAATAGTACATATATTATTTGTTTATGTTGTTTAACACTAATAGTTCTCTGGATCTATTTCCTCCATGCTTTGTTGGAGCTCTAGATTTTTGCTTTGTGTAGGTTTTTTGGTTCATTGTAAACAGCTTACTAATACAAGTTTTGGACTTTTGTCGTTAAGCTTTATATGGAGACTCTCCAAGACTTGCTTGATCCAGCAAATGATAATATCCCGTTTGTGGAAGATCCAAAAACTGGCGATGTTTCAGTTCCAGGGGCAACTGTAG